GAAAAGGAAGAGGAATCCAAGTTAATAATTACAGTATTTCAATGACTCTAAGACACCTTAGATTGTAAGATGTCCGTAATTTTATGAGCAGCTGAAAAAGGAAAAAAAGTTGCTGATTAAACTGTGTCATGCCACTGATTGTAAGATGCACCCCGATTTTAGAGATGTTAAAATGTGAAAAAAAAGTCTTAGAGTCAAAGAAATAGAAAAAAAATCCTTAAACCTGAGGTATCACTGCTCCTACACACACACACACACACACACCCCAACCACACAGGGCACATTAAGGCGCACACACACACACACACACCAACCACACAGGGCACATTAAGGCACAGTGCATGCATGCAGTGAAAACCCCAGTGAACCACTGTCCTAGAGGTATCTTCTCAGCTCCAACATATTGGAAATCTGGAGTTATGTCCCAGAGTGTACAGGAAGGCCCCTTGGTTCTGAGCAGGCAGAATACTGGAGAGCCTTGGGTCTTTCTCAAAATGCAACAGCAAAGAGCTTGGAGCTCCTGGACACTAGAAGGAGCAGCTGAAGGCACAGCAAATGCAGGCAGGCGCCGCCTCTGCAGGCCCCTCAACTGGGGAGGGAAGGGGTGGAAGCAAGCAGGAAGACTGGTGGCTGGAGCAGCAGTGGGGCTAGGAACAGGTTGGTGGACAGAACAGCTCTTCTACTGGCCTTGTTACATCGCAGAGATATTTCAAGGAAGCATCCACCTTCATTGCTAAGACCTGCCTCATTGCAAAAAGCTAAGGCTACCAGCCGGCTGAGATGCAGAAGCTGCTGGACCACAGGAAGTCAGCTGTGGAGGGCATCCATCAGCAACAGATGCAGCCTCTCCCTCCTGCCTCCCTAGGAGACTCTTAAAGCCCTTTGCCCAGCAGCTGAGACATCCCAGGTGTGTAATCCAGATGCTAGGCCAAATGCTGACTGTGGGAGGGGTGGGTACGAGCAGCAACAGAGTCCTTGACTTTGAACTAGGCCGGCCTTGACTGTTGCCAAGGTTAGCAAACCACAAGGCGTTTGAATAAACCATTGCATTTGTCAGACTGACATCCGTGTTCCTCCACTGGCCTTGGCAAACCAGGACAAGGGAAAAACTCACTCAGGGATCAGGCTGTAACCATCCCAAGCTGCTCCCTACCCCTAAGAAGGGTAGGTGACACATTCCATGGGCTGGTGGGCCTTTTGCCATGCAAACACCAATTCTGTGTGGCCTGGAGAAGGAAAGGGTGACCCCAGTGGAGAAGAACAGTTACTAAAGATATAGAAATGCAGTGGGACACCTTGCCCAGCCCCTGCTCAGAGCTCTGGGGAAGGGTCAGGAGGAACAGTTACTACTGGTCTCAGTGCTCTTCTCTCACACTACCACTTCCTCATCCAGGACACCAACTACACAGCCCTGCAGAGAAGCAGGATGGTGCCCCTCAGCAAGGAGCTCAAGGTGCAGCCCGGCCCCACGCAGAACTCACAAGACGAGCTCACATAGCCAAGGGTTCTCTTCAGGTAGCAGTGGCACCTCCTACCATTTGTCAGAACTCAGGGACTTGTTCTCTGAGCACTTCTGATAGAACCAGTCTTGTGCCAGGGGCTGGGGTATAAATGACACTCCACCCTGCCCTCCACAAGCTCAACGTCTACAGGGGGAGGGAGCCCAGTCATGAATCACATCAGAAGGAGGGAGCAAAGCACACAGGTGCCTACCAAAGGCCGGGGCGCAGGGAAGAACAGAAAAGGGAGAGTGGGGAGCTGAGAAAACAGCGCCAAGGAACAGCAAGCAAGGCAGCGCGAGATGGCAGGCATGAGAAAGTGGAGCACGACCTGACTGGAGCACAGGGGCTGTGAACATGGTTCTTCAGGGAGTGTGGGGTGAGGAGCCGGGGTTGAAGATGTTTCTAGGGCCTGTGTGCCACACCAAGGAGCCTGAGCTTTATCTCTTGGGTTGGGGGCCCCAGGAGGTGATGCAGGCAGATGTGCACTAGAAAAAGACTGCAGAAGGAAGTATAGACTAAATCAGAGATGGGCGGCAGGGGCACAGGCACTAGCCAAGGGGAGAGACAGCAATGGCCTTGGTCCTTGGCCTTTAGCTCTTTCTGAAAAGGAAGACATAGAGAAAGACCACGGGACCGACTTTCCTCAGCTTTTCTCCACCAGCCTCTTTCCGCTCCCCTCCCCCTCCCCTTCCCCACCCAGGCCAGCTCTTGCCTGGCCCTGATGTCCTGGCCTCACTTCCTCCTCTGCCTTTCAGCTGTTCTCTGAGGCTGCCCAAGGTCAGGCCTGCAGCAGCAGAAGAAAACACGACCTTGTCTCCTCTACCTCGTGCAGGTGTGGGTCTCCCCTTTCTCTCTTGCCATCCACGTCACTGCCTAGCTCTCCCACTTTTCTAAGGGCTGAGGCTGCTGGGCAATGGTCTACCCAGCAACCTCAGCACACCAGAGAGGCAGCAGGGCCCAGGAGAGAGTAGAACCATGTGGGCTTTGGGGTCTCACAAAACTGCTGTCAAATCCTGGCTCCTCCATTTATTAGTGAGCCTCAGTTTCTCCCTGCCAAACAGGGACAGCATTACCAGTGAGCTCACTGCACCTTTGTGGAGATTATCAGAGGTAGCAGGTACAAAGGGATTTAGTACCGCACCTGGCATGCAGTTGTCGCTATTGCTTTGTAGATGGAGAACCTGGGGTGGCAAGAGAAGATATGACTTTCCCAAGCAGTAGTTTTCTAGTCCAGGATTGTAGGCCCTGACTAATTCACAGCCTGGGTGCCCTACTACTGGCAAATGAGGAGACCCACCTGCACTGGGTGCCACTCTGGCTAGCTGTATCCCATCTAGAAGTAGCAGCACTGGCAAAAGACTGAACAGGGCCTCTGTCTGGTATCGAGGTGGCCGGGCTAATCCCAGTCACCATGGGCTGCTCAGTGGGGAGCCTTGGAAAAGCAGGTCCAGCTGCTTCCAAAGGGTGGGGTACCTTGTTCACACCTCCCCTTGGGACAGTCTGACCCATGCTGGGCACAGTCTATGCTGAGCACTGCTGGCACAGAACCAGCCCTCAGGAAGCTTGTGTTAAAAGGGCCTGCACGTGTTTAGTTTCAAAGCTGCCTACTCTAGCTCAGTTATCCAGCCTGGCCCTGAGCACCTTGGGGCCCAGAAAGCCCAGTAAACATCCCTGGCCAACAAGCCCTGCCAAGAGCAAAAGGCCTGCTGGGCTCCTGGCAACCTTGGCGGAAGTAAGCAGTGCATGGGAATTTGAAGCCATCCAGCCACACGGCTCCCAGGGCACAGCTGTGCTGAGAGAGCCTGGCTGCACTTTGGGGGTCCTCCAGGCGTGAAGCGCCAGTGGCCCCTTTTGTCTACTTTTCAAAGCAGAAGGCCTTCTGAGAGGGTTCTTGGAAGCAAGGCCAGGACTCCTAGGTTCTCATAAATCCTTTAATACCAGTAAATGAGGAAAATATTGTAACATTAAGTCCCATGGTGAGAGTTTCTTTTCATTCAGGGATCTTCAATAACAGAAACACCTGAGACTAAAATTCAGAATGCTACCTACACAAATTAATGACCATTTATTTCCAAAGGTGACTGCAGAAACCATTTTGGTACAATCAAAAGGTTTTACAAAACAGAGAAAACACATTACAAAACGCCCCAAGAGGTGAGCAAACTGGCAGGGACACAGAGCACTCAAGAACTAGCCTGATGGGAACACTCACCCTGCTGCTGTTTATGGGCTGACAGACTGGTTCTAAAGGGAGCCACCTTGGAGGGGGGGGGGGGGGGGC